TTTTGGGTGAGATGTTTAATTTCAGCTCACAGTCAAGAAGTTCTTTTGCATATACCTTCCATTCCACATGGTTGTTAGATTGTTTCATTATACCTGTCACTTTTTGATTGCTACTTTTTTCTTGCTATGTCTATCACTACAATGTTCTGAAGTGATCTGACTCGCAGAATTTGGTAATGTTGAGTCGCCGCTGTACTCTAGACTCCGCCATTTTTTTTGTGACTATTTATAGCAGGTGTGTCCTACATTTTAGTTTTTCATTATTATTAGTCAAGCAACTTCATAGTTAAGAAGCTTGTAGCCGTTCTTTCTTGATGCAATCCTCTTTTCTCTTAGTTAATTGCATAGATTTCTTTATTCAATCTGCATATTCAATTACTTAATACAAGTGAGCACATTTGCGATACTTTTCCGCTTTTCAGTTTAAAAAAGTATAGAAGAAACTGCACTGCCTTCGTTAACATGTGGCATGCTAGTTCACTGCGATTCCTCTGAATCTTTGATAGCAGGTATAGCTGATACGTGATTGTGTTTCTTCTTAGGATGGCAGGTGAAACCATCTTCGCAGCCCGTGTTTTTGTCCTTATAACCAATCTGGCCATTATGATGGTGAGTTTGCTGCTACCCCTAGAGTTATAATTTGGATTAGTTGCACAATTCTCTGTCTTGTTATCCTTCATATAGTATATTCTCTTCATCCACCTAAATGTGCTATTTTTTTTTTCTTATTTTTTTTTCTAGATACTGAATCTGCTAAAGCATCGAGACGGCAGCTCCAAAGAAGCTATATACAAAGTACTTTTTGACATGAATGTCCCTGCTGTCTGTGCCATTAATCAGGTAAACTGTCTCATATCCCCTCCATTATAATATATATGTTGTCCATAAACCATAGGGGGGAAGAACCGACCAAATGCATTGCAATTGTTGCAAAGTTGTCATGTCATCTGGAACTGCATCTTTCAGTTTATAAATGGGTTAATTGAGTCTAGGTCAGTATTCATTGTCTGCTTTTGGAACTGCAGGCAACTTTAGCTTTGTATGCAGCAAGAAGAACTTCAGGGATTGTTGTAAACATTGGTTTCCCAGGTCACTTCTATTGTTTCCAAGTAAGCCATTCTACGTTTTTCATCTTCCTCGTGATTTCAGATTTATTAACTACTGAAAAGATCTCTGGTCATACTTAATGCTTTTGTAGGGAATGTGCATAGTTTCTCTTTTACAATTATGTTGTATTCTTTTTTTCTTCACAATTAATCAAATTTCGGGTTACATCTCATTTTAGCTGCCATTCTGTGACTTGTAGTTCTAGGCACGCTTTTTACTTTCCGTTCCAGACTTTCCAGTAAATATTTTTATCCTTATTTCTGGTGGTGCTTTGTTTTCTTCATTTTTGGTTGCTTGGACTGTTGAATTTTTTTTACTTAATGTGTTATATTGTGTTTACAGTTTTAAATGGTAAAGTTATTCGCAAGGTGGGTGTGGAGGTTATGGGATTGGGAGCACTGAAGCTTACAGGGTTCCTTAGGGAGCTATTGCAGCAGAAAATATCAATTTTGACTCACTGTACACTGTTCGACTGTGAAAGAGGTATAGCTTGGATTTTTATCGTTGTAGAATGCTATCCGTGAGTGTTAATGTGACCAGCAGAACGCCACAGTTGTTTTAAAAAGGGCTTTTTCTAGTTCTAGCTTTTGTTCTTTCTTCTCATGTCATAGTTGTTTGGAAATTTATTGGTGGAATGATAAATAGGAAGTTTACCATGTGAGCTCGACATCCTGGGGTAAGAGGTTCAGTTTTGCCTATGCTTTACTGGTTGAAGGATTGGATTGTGGAAACTTAAAAGATGCGTATTTGTTAGTATGATAAATCATGAAAGAAAGAATTTTCAATTTCACGTCTTATTGGATGACTTCTATTCAGAAACTATGTTTATGTTGCTGAGGATTATGAAGCTGAGCTATCAAAAATACACAAGCATCATTTGGAGCTGGTGGAACAAGGCTGGTTTACTATTTCAAAAGAGCGGTTTCAAACAGGAGAGATCTTATTCCAGCCAAAGCTTGCAGGAGTGTAAGCACCACTCGAAATTTTTAGATTTATTGCTCTCTGTTTTTCTCTCCTGGTCTCCCTTTCCCCATTTTGAGAACCAGTAAATTCTCTAGCACCCATTTCCTAAACAAGTATCGACTCTGTGCTGTGTTCATCAAATTTGATGCCTATGGTTGGTTCAGGTCTGATCTTGAGCATGTCTTGTAAAAAATTGGTAATCATGTTCTCTCCAAATTTTACTAGTTAGATTATTCGGAAAACAGAATTTCAATGGGAAATTTTGTTTGGAACTTATAATGTCATATTTCATGTAGGCGTACTATGGGTTTGCACCAGGCAGTTGCTCTTTGCATGGAACATTGCCTTTCGGCAGACCTAACAGGAGACGATGCTTGGTTCAAGACAGTAGTTTTGTCAGGAGGCACCGCATGTTTGCCAGGACTCGCAGGTATCATTCAATTACGAGTAAAATTTCCGTTTCTTTTTTGATAAATAATGGAATATGAATTGGGAATCATACTAATCTTCTGGGCCAACAAAGTTTATCATCTTTATCTGTCAATATATATTTTTATATTCAGGAAGGTTAGAGAAGGAATTACACGGACTTCTCCCTCCATCTGTGTCTAATGGAATCACGGTCGTTCCCCCTCCATATGGTGCAGATTCAGCATGGTTTGGGGCCAAGATGATCAGCAATGTAAGCTCTGTCATTATCGAAGTGTTATGACTTACGACTCAAACATACAACATTTCAAAAATTGACATTGCAAAACATCTTTGAAAAACACTTCTTTGAAGAATATTGATTTCTTGGAGTATATATAATCCTTCCATTGCAACTTTCATATTGCAAGTCATGCATACACTTATAGAACAACATATATCCGGCCTTCTCCAAGTGACTTTGTAAGTTTTACGGCAGAGTTTCACGTTTTGCTTGCTGTAATTTACCTGGAAATAATGCAGCTGAGCACCTTCCCCGGCCCCTGGTGCATGACAAAGAAGCAGTTCCGGCAGAAGTCCAAAATCAAGCTTATGTGGTGAAAAATAATCTGGTTTATATTCGAGCACTGCCGTAGCCTGTATGTGATATGGTGTTGGATCAAACAGCACTGTCGCAGCCTGTATGTGATTCGAGCAGAGAGTTTCTTTTCAAGAACAAGCCGAAATTGGAATTATTTATTTGTAACTATAATCGTTCTTGAATAAGAAGAATTCTACATGTATCTATAATCTTACGATAAATTTTATAAATAAAGCAAGTTCATATTTCACGTTGAAGGAATTGAATGTTTTATCTGGACCACACGTTAAGATAAGAATCTGTTTAATTTTGTTGTACGATAACACAAATAAGTTTTTGTTTCCTAACACATTCTGCAAGAGAACATTTCCCTTTAAAAGATTTAATGAAGTAGATAACGCTTTGTTCGTTGTGATGGTTAAAGTTGGAATCAAACTAACACGGCAGGCCGAAAAATTCATGTCCAACATAGTGATTTCAACTGTTGAGTTTCACTAGTTTGGTTTTTATAAAATATGATTACTAAAATTGTTAAACTCACACCGTTAAATAAATAATATTACGGAAATCAAACGCAAGAACATAAAACCTACTAGGGAAGGCCAAAGGATATGCTTTCATTGCTACTTGAAGCAAGAATGTATACCAATAGCAAGTTTGAAGAAAGAATGAATAGATGGAGTAGTATGGTGGAAAGGGATTCCGTAGACTGCAAATAAAGGAAGTAGAAAATTGTTATGATACAAGGCAAAAGAAAGTGCCAAATTATTATTCCTTCAATTTTCAGTCCGGATTTGTTAGCGAGCCTTCTCTCATCTCTCTACTTCCATACTTACATTCCATGTAAAAAACTTACATGAGATATCCAAGGACTTATTTAAAAGTGTTTTTGAAATATCCGAAAGTGCTTTGATGAGAGTGCTTAACCAATTCTTATATGCCAAATGCCCAAACTGTCTTTAAACATTCTTTAAGCACTCTTTCATCACTTTCTAAGGCAGCAAAGCAGGTGTTTCTCCATCTTCAAGAAGCATCGTATGAATTTTCGTTTAAAGGTATTGTCTTTTTACTCCTTATCCAAATCTGCAAGTCCTAAATATGAATTTATATCTATATCTTGTCCTTCTTTTATTTGCCTTTCTTTGTTTACTCATTGTGCTGGATTCTTTAGTCCATTTGTATTCTTGATGCTAAACCCTAAATCTATTGAGAATTGGAGAATTGATACAATCTTATACTTTTTTAGAGAATTGATACATCCTTTCATAAAAAAGAAGAAATAAATAAAATTACAGCTTAGTCCAAACCCCTATGGGGTTTATTTCTTTGTGCATGCCAGGAATTATTATCCCACAAACCATGCTCAAGACACGTCTTTGAGCTTTTCACTAGGAAAGAAACCATAATGTTCTATTCAGTAAATACTAAAAGCTTTGAGAAAATTCAGTGAAACGAGAAAACTAGAATTTCTCTAACTTTTTTTCTTAACGAGTTTCACTTTTTACAGTTTGACGGTTGACATTGGTTGCTTCACTTCACTTTTTCAATCTCGATACCTTCTTTCTCCTGAAGAAGAAGTTTTCATAAGTTATGTCACTGTGAGAGGTCTTTATTTCTGGATTACTTCAAGTGTTGTGGAAAGGGATTCTGTAGGCTGCAAATAAAGGAGCTAGAAATTGTTATGATATAAAGCAAAAGACGAAAGTGCACGTTATTATTCCTTGAATTTAAGTCCGGATTTGTTAGCGAGCCATCTCTCATCTCTCTACTTCCATACTTCCATTCCATGTAAGTGATTTTTTGGCATGGGTAATCTATTTCATTTTATATAAATTACAATTTGAAATAATATGGATGAATTCTTGCTTATTCAAATTTGCATGGAAAATATTTAGGCTATGAGTTGCATTTCTTTTTTCTAATGCTGGAAAATATCCAAAATCGATTGACCTATATGATAATGAAAGGTCTTGTTTCAATCGCTTTTACGGTCTTATTGGAAGTGCTTTTGGCATAATTAGTGCTTATTAGTTATTATACGAGTAAAAGCATTTTGTTTGACAAAAATTGGAAATACGCTTGAATATAGGAAGCACTTGAAATGGGGTTTCAACAACATAAAGAAGTTGGAATTGGTTGTATAGGAATCACTTATAAACACTTTTTACTAGAAGTGCGTTTATTAGAGACTTTAACGTTGAATTTATATATAAAAAAATCTAAGTGTTTATTGAAAAAGTATTTAGAAGTGCTTCTTGAAGAAGCATCTATCATGTATTCCTCTAAAAAACACTTATGTGACTCAGAAACACTTTTTAACTCTTCTTCCAAAAGTAGCCAAAGACTCGTCATTGAAGTTTTTTTTTATTGTCCCAAAATGCTTTTTAACTCTTTTAGAAGCAGTCACAATCCATAACATGCCCTCCTACTACATTCTTTAAGCTCTCTTTAATAAGACATCACTCTATTGCAGCAGAGCATGCGTTTCTCCATCTTCAAGAAGAACAAATCCCGTGTGAATTTTCCTTTAAAGGTATTGTCTTTTTACTCCTTATCCAAATCTACATGACCTTAATATGAATCTATATCAGTATTTTGTCCTTTTTTTTATTTGCCTTTCTCTGTTTACTCTTTGTGCTGGATTCTTTGGTCCTAAATCCATTGGGAATTTGATAGTTGATACGATCTATACGTTTTTGGGGAATTGATACAACCTTTCATAAAAAGAAAAAAATAAAATAAAATTTGTTTCCTTGTGCTTGTCATGAAATTTTTTGTGTAAATATATATGTGTGTGTGTGTGTGTGTGTGTAGAATTAGGATCGGGATATCTGTTTTTTTAAACACATTTGACACTCATTTGTAGAGACATTAACTTTTGTCAACGATCTAACCGTTTATTTTTTTTTTGTCTTTCCTCAAAGACCGTGTTTTTACCAAAAATCACTTAAATCCGAAACAATATTTAACGTTTAGATTAAATGATATTCACTTTAGTACTCTTTGCATAACTGTATTTGTTCATTTACTTTTCTACAAAAAAACGTCTTAATGATTTAGGTTTTTATAATTTTTTGTAATGATGATTAATAAATGATGAATTGAAATATAGATGGTTTGGATTATTGAATAAAGTTACGGAGTGAGCCCTTTAAGATTTCGATACCCCTGTAGATCTTGTTGTTCTTTGTTGTATCCAGCAATAGACTAAACTTAGCAAATAGAGAATAACTAGAAACACATAAGATTTACATTAGGTAATAAACTTTTGTCTACGTCTAGTTGTGATTTCTCCTGGACGAGAAATCACGGCTTGTTTGATTAATAATATTGTATAGAATACTTTTGCAAAGCCTATAATTAATCCCTCTCTTCTCTCGGCTATCTCTATGTTTTTCTGCTTCATGCTGCACCCTATGCTTATCTTCTAATTAAGTCTCCTAATCTGTTTGGGATAGGAAAACACACACTCGCATTTCGTTTTTGCATTTAGGATTCCTAATCCAGATGTACAAGAAAACTGAATTCTCTCCTAATCCATATAGGACAAGAATATGAATTCTTTCCTAATCAGTATAAGACAAGAATATGTGCACCTTTAGCTATCCTAATACAATCTTAAACAAAATAGGACTCTAACATAGACGAGTTAAATCCTAACAATCTCCACTTTAGTGAGTCAACCCAAGTCTTGACTGTTGCACACCTAGATTATCTTCAAACCTTCTTGAAGTAGCTCTAGAAATCTTTTATAACCTTTACCTTGGAAAACCACTTATCAGTCTCATTGCATCTCAAGTGAGGAGGGGCTCCACCTTAATTAATTAACTAGATTGATCAAGTTCAAGCAAAACTTGAATTTCTTGGTCGACATTATCTTGAGAAGGGTGTGTAAGAATTAAAAATGGGACGTCACTTCAATATTCTTTGATCTTCCATGAAAAACATGATTCTTTACGCCAAGTGAATTACATTGTCACATTTTAGATTTGCGTAATCTTGAGTGAATCCCATTTGGCTTGCAAAGCCACTACGCTAAATTGTTTCCTTTACAACTTCGGTCAGAGCAATATGTGTACTCTAATTTTGTAGTTGACAAAGTTATTGGTTGCAGTAGTGCCCTCCAGCTGATTGGTCCTCTTGCGCATGCAAAGACATAACAAGAAGTTAACATTCTATTGTCCAAGTCCCCTGCATATTTTGGCATCAACATATCCCTCCATTCCTGGATTTACTTTTTGCTTCTTAAACATAATCCTATGTCGCCAAAAAACCTCTCAAGTAACACATAATCCATTAGCATAGGGCACATTCTCCATCACTTGTTTCTCTCTCAGACCTAAGACATTGTTGGCCACTTAACTATAGTGAGCCGCCAAATTAAGGAGTCGAAACTGCCTTTACTTCAAGTATGTTGAACTTCTCAATAACCTTTTGAATATACTTTGCTTGTGATATCCAAATCCTACCACCGGTCATTTCTCCCTGAATTTCCATGCCAAGAATTTTTGTGCAAAACGTAGATCCTTCATGTCAAACTCATTGGTTAACATGTTCTTCAAGTTGTTCCTTACTCTGGTTATCTGCACTGGTATATGCAATGATACTTTCTTTGCTTCCCGATAACGCAATACTCATAAAAGTATAGTTTGCAAAATGAATTGCCTTCTAGCAGGCCTCTCTTTTGTAATTCTTGCAAACCCTTCTAACTAATATGCCCTAGCATGTAATGAAAGAGTTCAGTCTTGTCTTATTTATTATGCTTTGTGGAAACGGTTGCACCCCCTGCTATCATAGTCCCAATGAGCTTGTACAAGTTATTGTATTATATGTCAGCCTGATTACCACTAATGATCTTCTGGTCACCTCAAGTCTTTCTACTTTAGAACTATACTCATAGCCGATCTTGTCTAACATACCTAAGGAGATCAAATTCTTCTTTAGTCTAGGGACATATCTGATGTTTCTCAAAGCCCGTAACACTTCATCAAACATCCTGATCTAACAGTGTCGATCTTTCTAAAAGACATGGCCAATCATCCATCATGAAAACTTTTCTGCTACTGACCTCTTTGTAGGTATCGAAACATTTTCTTACTTCATACATATGGAATGTGTGTCGGATTTCCAATATCCAACTTCTGAAAGCCTTGAAGCCCTATGTTATCGAAAGAAGCTTTTTGTCACTCTCTTCTTCGGTGACTATACTAGCTAAACATGATATTCCTTCCATCGTGTCTTTCTTTTCGTTCCAAATCTTGCAGTTCATCTTCTAATGATTAGCAAAACCACATTCGAAGCAGCGTTCTTTCTTTTCCTTTTTCTTCTTGGATTTCAACCAACTTGTTGGTGTTATTCTCTTCCTTTGTCTTTTCCCATCCTCTCTCATTGCCTTTGGAATAAAGGCCTTTATCTCATCCAATTTAGCATATGACTGAATGGCTTAAATTACGTCCTCAAGCTACAGGAACTCCTGTCCAAATATTAGAGTTGTTCAAAGGTGCTTGAAAGACAAGGGTAGAGACCTTAGTAAGATGATAGCCATATCATTATCTTTGTAAGTTTCTTCAACCTTCTGAAGATTTGCTAAGTGATTCTGGAATATGTGATCTTCAATATCACTTCCTTCTTCTAGGCAAAGCCCGAATAGTTTATTCTTGAGAAACAGTTTATTGGACACGGTTTTGCCCATATAAACCTTCTCCTACTTGTCTTATTCTTCCTTAATGGTCATCGTTTATGTAACATAGGACCTAACTGATTTCGTGAGATGAATCTCGATGGAACTCTTGGCCTTCTTGGGAATATTGGTCTACGTCGCTTATGTCATGGTCGTAGGCTTCTCACCAAGGATTGCATCATCCAAATCATGATGTATCAATACATTATTCATCACCATTTCCCAATCCGTGAAGTCATCCTTACCATCAAAATGTTTAAATGCATGCCTTAAGCTTCCTAAGCCTGTTGTCTTCGTTCCTCTTGTCATCGCAAAACACCTTAAACCAGGCTCTTGATACCAACTGTAAAATTTCAACTCCCCGTCTAGGTTATGTTCTTTGATGTATCTGACAGTACACTAAACTTAGCAAATAGAGAAAAACACACAATATTTATCCTTGTTCAGCAGAACTTTTGCCTACGTCCAATTGTGATTTCTCTAGATAGAGAACTCATGGCTTATTTTATTAATAATAGAGTATACAATACTTCAGCAAACCATAGAACTAATCTCATTCCCTCTATTCTCTCACTTGTCTTAGTTTTTCTGCTTCTGGCCTCACCTTATTTGTAAGTACATGGTGCTGTTTACATGCCTATCTTCTGATTAAATCTCTTAATCTATTTGCAATAGGAAAGCACATTTGCATTCCTATTCTATTTCTGCTTTTAGGATTCCTAATCTAATTGTACAAGAAAACATAATTCTTTCCTAATTTTTGTAAGATAAGAATTTGTGCACCTTTAGCTTTTCTAATACAATCCTAAACAAAATAGGACTCTAATACCGACGAGCAAAATCCTAACAGGCTCTACAAAGTGTGTTTCAAAACCTGGGAGTCCCCCAATCCTAAGTCTATGTATAACTAGTCATGATTTCATAAACCATCTTCTTATGATTTCAATGGAAGTTGGTACGGGAATAGCTGGCTCTTATTTTTGGCAAAAAAAAGTGTTACAAAGTTATGTGAAAAAACAAAAGCACATCTACCTCCAACAATCCCGAGACCAATTAGATTGGTATGCTCAAGACATATCTCTGAGCTTGTAACTAGGACATAAATCATAAATTTTTATTCAGTAAATACTAAAAGCTTTGAGAAAATTCGGTGAGACAACAAAACTAGAATTTCAGTAACTTTTTCTTAACGAGTTTCACCTTTTTGCAGTTCGACGGTTGACATTGCTCAAGCTTTCCCGTAACATTTGCTTACTTGTTCTTGGATTGGTTGCTTCACTTCACTCTTTCAATCTTGATACCTTCCTTTCTCCTGAAGAAGCTGTTAATATACACTATCTTGAAGAAGTTCTTATAAGCTATGTCACTGGGAGAGGTTTTTATTTCTGGATTACTTCAAGTGTTACTTGAAAGGTTGACATCACGTGAAACGCTGAGCTACTTTAGACGCCTACTTGGTGTTGGCAAAGAGCTGAAGAAATGGAAGTCAATGTTGTCTACTATTCGAGCAGTGCTGAATGACGCGGAGGAGAAACAATTGACTAACCAAGAAGTGAAATTGTGGCTGGATGATCTCAGAGACTTGGCCTATGATGTGGAAGACATATTGGACAAGTTTTCAACCGAGATGTTGCGACGCCAAATAAAGGAGAAACATGGGGCTACCACAAGCAAGGTATGGGGTTTGCTTTCTGATGTTAAATTTAACTGTAACCTGAGGTCAGAAATAAAGAAGATTACTGATCGCCTACATGAGATATTGGAAGTGAAAAAACAACTTGGTTTAAATGAGGGGACGCCATCTAAGGCATGGCACGTGCCACCAAGTTCCCGCCTACCGGAAGGACCTGTGATTGGAAGGGATACAGACAAGACGAAGATTATTGACTTGTTGTTAAAAGAAGCACCCAGTGCCATCAACTTTCATGTAGTTGCCATTGTCGGTATGCCTGGAGTGGGAAAGACTACACTTGCAAGACATGTTTATGATGATGACGCAACGAAAGAGTTTAACATAAAAGTATGGGTATCTGTGTCGGATGACTTCAATCTTGAAAGAGTGACAAAGGCAATTCTTGAATCCGCCACATCTGGTCTTGCAAAGGAGTACAAGGAATTCAACCAGGTTCAAGAAAGTTTGAGTAAGGAGCTAGCAGGAAAAAAGTTTCTAATTGTTTTAGACGATGTTTGGAATACATGTGTCTATGATTTGTGGATAAAATTGCAGTCCCCCTTCCGTGTTGGAGCATTAGGAAGTAAGATAATTGTGACAACACGTGATGCAAATGTTGCAAACATGATGGGATCCACTGTTTATCAATTGGATTGCATGACAGGTGATCAATGTTGGGAAGTCTTTGAGCAACATTCCCGATTGGACATTACCAAAAGGCCGCAAAAGTTTGAGTTGATAAAGGAGAAAATTGTTGCAAAATGTCGCGGATTGCCATTGGCTGCAAGGACTCTTGGAGGTCTTCTACGCTGTAAACAAGTAGAAGAATGGGAGGAAATCTTAAACAACAAGATGTGGAGTCTATCAGACAATAGTGGCATTCTCCCAGTATTAAAATTGAGCTATCACTATCTCCCTTCGAGTTTGAAACGGTGTTTCGCCTATTGTTCCCTACTTCCAAATGACCATGAGTTCAGGGAGAAGCAGTTGATCCTTCTGTGGATGGCAGAAGGTTTGATTCAACAAAGAGTAGAGGACAAGAAACAAGTGGAAGAAGTAGGCAGTGACTATTTTCAAGAGCTATTGTCCAGGTCATTATTTCAAAAGGCAAGCAAAAGCAATGATAAGTATGTAATGCATGACCTTGTTGGTGAGTTGGCGCGGTGGGCTGCAGCTGAAATATGCTTTTCATTGGAGGATAAGGGAAATGATGACTTGCATCCAATGGCTCGTCATATTTCTTATGTTATTGGTGAGTATGATGGGGTTAAAAACTTTGAGGCCATTTCAAGAGTTAAACATTTGAGGACATTCCTTCCATTTCAACAATCTTTATCTTGGAACCATCTAACTCGTAGGGTTACATTTGATCTATTGCCAGAACTGCAAATCTTACGGGTGCTTTCTTTGAATGGCTATAAAATAACTGAGTTGCCCAATTCAATTGGTAAATTGTGGAATCTACGGTATCTGGACCTTTCTTATACATGGATAAAGAGTTTGCCTCCATCAACAACCACTCTTTGCAATCTGCAAACATTGTTATTAGAAGGTTGTTATGAATTGGAGGTATTGCCCGCAAACATGAGTACAACAACAACAACAACAAAGCCTTTTCCCACTAAGTGGGGTCGGCTATATGAATCCTAGAACGCCATTGCGCTCGGTTTTGTGTCATGTCCTCCGTTAGATCCAAGTACTCTAAGTCTTTTCTTAGAGTCTCTTCCAAAGTTTTCCTAGGTCTTCCTCTACCCCTTCGGCCCTGAACCTCTGTCCCGTAGTCACATCTTCGAACCGGAGCGTCAGTCGGCCTTCTTTGCACATGTCCAAATCACCAGAGTCGATTTTTCTCATCTTTCC